AATGTGGAGCCCTTGATGACGTCACTGAGGCTCCCAAGGTCATAGGCAGCACCACTCTCCCCTCTGTGGACTGCAGCACACACAGACGCTCTTAGGCCCGTTCCACTCTTCCCACAGGCCTGGCATCTCCAAAATGGGTTTCCCCTTGCAACTAAGGCTTCACCTTCACAGTTTTATGAAATGATTTCTCAGGGGTCTCCTTGCAGGGAATGTGACCCTGCCACACATTGCCTGGTCTCATGTCTTTCTGGAACTTTGATGTAAGCCTCCATTATGTAACTCTCGCATTTTTTTTCCAGGCCTGTAAAACCAGCACCATGTGGATGACTATGCCAAGGTCTTGATGTCACAGTGAGAGACAGTCTATCTATCCCCCTCTGCCACAGCTGCAGTGCCCCCTGGGTGCCTTGGCAGAGAAGGGCAGCCAGCCACAGGAGGTTATCACCGAGCACGGAATCCCGTTAGTGCATTTTAAGTTCAGTCTCCTTCCTGTCAAATGAATTTGCATTTTCACAAGTTAGAAACTTTTTAAAAAGATTTCTTTAGGGGCTTGGAGAGATGGTTCAGAGGTTAAGAGCACTGGCTGCTCCTTCAGAGGTCCTGAGTTCAATTCCCAGCAACCACATGGTGGCTCACAACCATCTGTAATGGGATCTAATACTCTCTGGCCTGCAGGCATACATGCAGACAAAAAACTCATAACCCCCGCCCCCCAAAAAAAAGATTTAAAAAATTTTGTTTATATCCCTATGTATGTCTGCAACCAGAAGAGGGCATTGGATCCCATGGGTTGCAGGTATGTGCTGAGAATTGAACTCAAGACCTCTGAAAGAATCACCTGTGCTCTTAACTACTGAGCCATCTCTCCAGCCCACATTCAGTGTCTTTGATAGGTGGGACCAAGGTCTCTTTCCTGTCACCTCAGTGTGACAGGCAAGGTTCTTCTTAACCGTGCTAAACTCTCTGGTAGTTCCATACTTGAGCTGCTGTCTCTGCACCCTTCTCATCTGCAGCTTTTAAACTCATTCATATTACTTTCCTCACTCAATGGCACACTTTCCATATCCTTTTCCCCACTTCCTCCTCTTTCTACTGTAAACCCGGATAAGAATAGGGATCAGTAACTATGGCACTGAATGCTATATTGTGTTCAAAAAGCCCCTGTGCAACAAACCAGTCCGTTACTTTTGAATTCAGCCCCACACAAGTTCTCAGGGCATGGGCAGAAGGTGGTCATATTCTTTCACAGAACAGCACATGATTAGCCCCTAACCTGTCTCCTGACAGAGTTACTGTCCCCCTCTTGGACCTCTTGAGTCCAGTCTTTACCGTCTACCCTCATGGAGTTCTCCTCAGAGCATTTGGTGCTTCTCTAGCACACAGTCCTAAACTCTTCCACATCTCTTCCAAAAATCAGTCCTGAATATCTACAAAGCACATGGTCAAGTTCATCACAGAGACAGCCCTTTTCAGAGGCAATTTTCCGTACCTGGTGTTTTTCCAGCTGCTGTGACTAACTGCCAGACAAGAGCAGCTTAAGGAAGAACACAGGTTGGGGGTGTGGTCCCTGATGCCTGGTGGCAGGAGCCCGGGGCATCTGGTCACTTGATTCTAGGGAGGAAGCAAAGAAATGATTCCTGGGGCTCAGGTCCCTTTTTTCTTTCTTTCTCCTTTTTTTTATTCAGTCTGGGGGCTCAGTGTGTGTGTGTGTGTGTGTGTGTGTGTGTGTGTGTGTGTGTGTGTGTGAGAGAGAGAGAGAGAGAGAGAGAGAGAGAGAGAGAGAGAGAGAGAGAGAGAGAGAGAGATTGCATGGTTTCTAAAATCTCTGGACACAGCCTCACAGACACACCCAGAGGTGTGTCTCCTAGGTGATTCGAAATCTAGTCAAGTTTCAATGAAGATTAGCCATCACACATGCTGCTGTTGAGTAATCCTAGACTCTCTATCCTGGAGCTATTCCTCCAGCATGCTGTTCTCTTAATGGAGTGTTTGATTTCGGTTCTTTTTTCAGTTCTACCATCAGGCTCTTCAGAGGGAGACGTGATGACTGGAGCTTTAGCTGCCATTATGGTGGTATGATGAAAGAATAATCACTGTTCTAAAAACTAAGTCCCCAAAAAACCTAGGAAAAGAGATCATCTCTATTGGCCACTTCCTGTATACCTTTCCCGGATGGCACAGCTTTGTTCTGTCTCCAAGTATCACAGTGGAGGTAGAGAAAGGAATGGGATGGGATGGGCGAGTGTGATGTGTTCACTTAACCTAATCCCTTTTATTGCCCTGGGTGAGGACATGTGGGGCTTCTATTGTTTTTACTTTAATTTGTCATGGTCCTTTTTCACTTACCCCTTGCTCCTGGGGTATGGTCAGAGTTGTGCACTCAGAATGGACCAGGGCCTCAGGCCTCTTGTCAGTGATACATTATTTGTTTTCCACAATACAGACCACCATCTGAAGCTGTCTGCTGTGTGTTTACTTGTTCATTGTCTCTGCCCCCCTCATCCCTCACTAGTGGGGAGGAGCACTCTGTGAAGGTGCTCATTCACAGCTGCTCCCCAGCACTGCACACCGTGGAGACTGGAGATGCCCAGTCTGTAATAGTGAAGTGACTTCATCACTGACCTGGCGAACCCCACCTTGTATTCATCTCTAAACATGAAGCTTTCCCACCCAGGTCCCAAACTCTGCTTTGAACATCACAGCACCCTTCCAGGGGAGTTCACAAGTCAGTCTGCAAAGGAAAGAGTCCCATTAATTAAGAACCCATTAATGAGATTTAAAAAAAATATGTTGCCTTAGCCAGGTGGTGGTGGCACACGCCTTTAATCCCAGCATGGGAAGTAGAGGCAGATAGATCTCTTAAGTTCGAGGCCAGCCTGGTCTACAAAGTGAGTTCCAGGACAGCCAGGCCTACACAGAGAACCCCGTCTCAAAAAAACAAGAAGAAGGAGGAGGAGGAGTGGGAGAGGAGAAGACATATGTTACCTTCCTCCAAATACTGGCTAAGACAACTACTAGACGATGAGACTTAGGGAAGAGCTGCATCTTGGACACCTTTGACTGCTTCGTGCATACAGTACGTACCCAAGAAAGATTCGTTTTATGGACATGCAAAACCCTCCATGATTCGGGAGCATAGTTATAAAAGTAGGGAACACGGTATTTCAAAGAGAGGATTGGGGTTATATGGTGAATTAAAAGTATATGGGCATTAAAATGTCTTGACACCAACAGCCTTTGGGCCAATTGCTATGTAGTGAATGGAAGGGAAAATAAAGAGGTTAGACACAAGCCAATGAGGCTATTTGGATTTAAAGTGATGTTAAATAGCATGTAAAAGTCATTTGCACCAGCTCCTCTCCTGTGCGCAATAATAACCATACGTGTCTCGGGGCAACTGCATTTGCACAAGGCAGGCAAAACATTTCACAGAATGTTCTTTTGGAGAAAGTTGCCAGGGTCCAGGAGAATCGTAGGAAAAACGTTCCTGCTTCTAACCTGGTTTTCAGACAGACAGACACACAGACATAGATACATACACACATACACACCTACACGTGCACCCCAACATCAGAGCACGCCAGCATCCCACATCTAACTCTAAGTCAATGGTTCTCAGTCTTCCTAATGCAGACCCTTTAATACAGATCCTCATGTTGTGGTGACCCCAACCATAAAAATATTTTCATTGCTACTTCATAACTGTAGTTTTGCTACTGTTATGAATCCTAACGTAAATATCTGTGTTTTCTGAGACTTAGGACTTAGGCCACCCCTGTGAAAGGGTTATTCAACCTCCAGTGGGGTCTCAACCCAAAAGTTGAGAACCACTGCTTTAGATTCTGGTCCATGGGGAACCACAGCCCTACACTACGTCGGGCAGTACCGAATTCAACAAGTAGTTGTGGAAATGGTGACCTTGATCCATTTGAAGGAAATGTTGGAGGTTGAAAAGGAGAGCTGGGTAGAGGGGGTATGCCCTGCGTGCCCATTAATGCTGGTTGTCACACACTTTAAAATCACCTGGGAAATCAGTCTCAAGGCGGGATTGTCTAGGCCGGGCTGACCTGTGAGCAAGTCTGGGGGTGGCCAGGATTACCTTGATTGACTTAACTGATGTGGGGAGACGCAGCCTGCAGTGGATGACACCATTCCTTGGTGTGCACAAGCAGAGCGTTCATTTCTCTCTGCTCTTGACTGTGGGTGTGATGTGGCTAGCAGTCTGGAGTTCCTGCCTCTGTCGCTTCCCCGCAGCGATGGACTGCAGCCAGGAACTATGAGCGAAAATGAGCCTTTTTCCCCTCCCCTAAGTTGTCTGTGGCTAGGGTGCTTTTATCACAGAACAGAAATGAAGCTAGGACGCCATGCTTCGCTTTCCTCTCCCGGTCTCACCCACTCTTCTGCTCCATCTCAGTTCCAACGCGCGCAACAAGGAAAAGCAGCCCCGAGCCCCAAGCCCTGTAGGACTCCCCCAAAATAAACATCAGCTTTTGCCAAGGACCTGGGTTGAGTTCCCAGCACTCATATGGTTGCTCATAACCATCCACCACTCCAGTTCCAGGGATCGACGCTGGTACCGGTGCACATACATGCAAGCAAAACATTCATACACGTTAAACAAACAGATAGATAGATAGATAGATAGATAGATAGATAGATAGATAGATAGATAGAATGATAGATAGATAGATCTTTTTGAAAAATAAATAAATAAATATGCTCCGGGGTTCAAAATCATTTTACCTTGAGCGGGTATGTCTGTGAGTACGTTAATGTCCACTCACCCTCAGCTCAAAAGCCTGCTCTACTAGGTGCTCTGTAAGTATGTATTGGGTGTCTCAATGAATGAATGAGTGAGTGAGTGAGTGAGTGAGTGAGTGAGTGAGTGAGTGAGTGAGTGAGTGAGTGAAAGATATTCAGTGCTCCGGGGCAGGAGCGCACTGGGTGCAGCCATGGAGCAAAGGGGTCGGTGAGGCTCGGCCCTCGGGGGCGTGTCCGTAGAGGCGGCCGCGGAGCTCCGGGCCCCGCGCAGGAGGCGGCGGCGGCGGCTAGCATGGAGAGCGAGCTGGAGGCGCTGGCCCAGCAGCCTACGAGCCCGGCCGAGCCGCTCTTCCAGGCGCTGGTGGAAGCTGCGGGCGGCCGCGGGCAAGTGCTGCTGGTGGGCGAGCTGTGGGAGCGCGAGCAGAGCCGCGCGCTGCTGCAGGACTTCTCCCGCGCCGTGTTCCCTCCGGAGCCGGAGTCGGAGCCTGAGCCCGGCAAGCCGGGCTGCGCAGAGGCCGGGAACGCGGTCACCGCAGCGGCCACCGGGCCGCATCGGGCTCCGGGGGCGAAGGCAGCGCGCGTCATCTGCTCGCCGCTCGTCTTCGCGCTGTGCCGCTCCTCGTCGCTGGCCGCCCGGGAGCCGCGGCGCCGCCTGCGGGAGATGCTGCGGGATGTGCGCGGCCGGCGGCGGGAGGGCGCCGCGCTGGTCGGGGTCCTGGTGGCCGAGTCCGGAGCAGAGAACGCGGTGGCGCCGGGACTGCAGCTGCTGGAGACGCTGCTGCGCACAGTGTTCGGCCGCCAGGTGGGGGGCCCGGTGCAGGCTGCCGCCTTCCATCCAGGCTCCCCGGCCTCCAGCCTGGCGGTCCAGCAGGCAGCCTGCAGGGCCCTGCAAGCCGCGGGGCCAGGTCGACCAGGTGAGGCTGAGCAGGGTCGGGCTGGGTGTGGGTGAAGGAGCCTAGTGAAGCCTTCAGTCCCTTTAGATCGGTTGAATCCCTTTAGGCCACCCAACTCTGTTGTGCACCGAGGTAAACTGAAGCCCGGTGCAGGGAAGTCCCTAGCTCAAGACCTTTCAGCCTAAGGTGAGCTGGCTCTGGACAAGAAGTTGAATCGGTCAGGCCAGATCCAGACTGTACGTGAGATGGGTGACAAGGAGCCGAGGGTACAGCTGGTCAGTAAGTGGATATGAAGTAGGGTTGAACTACTCTGAACAAAAATGTAGGAGCTGGAGACTGGGGATAGGGGAAGAAGATGGAAACGTCTCGGGGTGGAAAAGTGTGCATGGTGTGCGTGGGGGATGGTGAAGAACTTAGGCGGAGAGGGGGTGTGGAGCTTTAGGACTCGGTGCAGGTACGGTTGTCGAAGGAATTTGAGGGGAGGGTGAGCCGCGCCAGGAGGCTCGGTGTGGCAGGGTGGAAGGCAGACACAGTTCCTGGCAGAGGCACGAAATAAGTGCCAGTCGGGAAGGTCGCGAGGAACCGAGACCACGGTGACCTCAGTCATTCCTGGCTTCCCGCCTGCACTGCGTCGCCACTGATCGCTGGCTGCCTTGCCAGGTGTAGTGGGGCCACTTTTTCCTCCCATACTCTGAAGTGTAGACAGGGGTGTGAGAGCTCCCCCAGCCGGGGACTGCTCCATCACAGACGGGTCAGATGTCCCAGGCAGCAGGGTTTGCGGGAACTCTGCAGTGTAGTGGGATTAAAATGTGGACCTTCAACGGAGCTGCGTCAGGCACTGGGAGATCTTTGCTCTGCTCAGCAAAGCGCCCTTCCACTTCACTCTTTATCGTAGTAAGCTTCCGAGTTAATAAGTGGCTGTGTGGGGTGTTCCGGGGCATCTGCTATTGGCCATTAGCCAGCCCCTGGGAGACGTCAGACCTTTCTCATGGGGAGACACTATCTGATGTTCCAAATGCCACAATGCCAGCCTGGCAAATGTGTTTCACCCACTGAGGCCCCCCTAGCCTCTGGCCAATTTCCCTTCTGTGGAGGCTGAGCAACTTCCAGCATCCTGAAAAGTACCCCACGTATATTCCTGTTCCGATAATATCCGGTCAGCTGATTCCTTACCGGGCCTTGAGGCAAAGAAGGGAATTCAGGCAAACTCTCCCTGGACTAAGGAGCTGGCACCTAGAAAACTCTCTAAGCCTTCCTTCTCTCAACTCTCAGTTTCTCCAGCCACGCCGAACTCTGGCCAGGGTGTTGTGCCCATGGCTGTGACCCAATCTCTCTTCTTTCTGTAGCTCGCCCACCCCTCCATTCAGAACAGGACTTCTTCACTCAGGGAGCCTTCTGAAAAACCTGCACACTCGCTCCCATTTGCAAATTCACTAGTGAAATTTCAGAACCTTTTGGTCTTTGGCTCTCTCAGCGATGACCAAATGGTTTTGTCACTGTTCTCTTGTGAGTTTAACAACCCTAGTATTCCCATTTCCTAACACCCTTGCATCCGAGATGGATGACTAAATCCTTGCTTTGAAGTAAACACTAACACTCTGGAAAATGGAAACGCAACTCTTGTCTACTTTTATAACAACACACTGAGAAAAACAAAACTTTTACTAATGAGTCAAGGTCATGAGTTAATTATAACTCCTCCTGCATCCATTTCCTGCTTTTCAAATGTTTTGTGAAAGTCAGGCATGGTAACCCACACCTTTAATCCTAGCACCTAATAGGCAGAGGCAGATAAATCTCTGTGGTCTGAGGCCAGCCTGGTCTATATAGTGAGTTCCAGGCCAGGCTAAGGAAAGAGACCCTGTCTAAAAAAAAGTGTTTAACCTATTGTGTTCAGAAGTAGTTTGAAGCAAGGCACAATGATGCATGCCTGTAATCACAGCATTTGGGAGGTTGAGGCAGGAGGATGGAAAGTTCAAGGCCAACCCTGGCTACATAGTGAGGTCCTGTCGCAAAAACAAATGAATAGATGGATGAACAAACAAATGAAGAAGTGATGTGGGGACAAGGAAAGGAGGGAGAGTTTGAACTAGGACTGGAGGAGAAATGACCGCCCTCTTTGGTGTGCAGTTGTGACTGATTTCATGGCATTTTGTTGCCATGGTTTCCCCAGCATGTGCACATGTCACGGAAATGTGTGAGGCGGGAGATAACCAGACAGATGAAGGCAGGGCATAGAAAGTCGAGACACCTGGGGTGCTGAAGAAAGTCTCTTGGTTTGTGAAGCAGGCACTAGCTGACCTCTGCCTTGGGGATTTGGACTCTTTCTAGCAGAAGGTGCCTGGGAAAGACCCGGCTTCCCTGGCCTACTGACTTGCTTTTCCTGGGGTCCTCGGAACCAGAGGAAGAACCGAGGAGATACCACCTCCTCCCGAGGCCCAGCTCAAGGTAAGTACATTGGCTGCCTGCTCCTGAGTGAATACAGAGGCCTTAAGGACGCACTTTCTCCATGCTGAGAATAGCACAAGCACTCGGTGCCTGTCCCTCCAAGAGGGCTCGGGCTGGCTCAGGCAGAGTTCCTGCCCCAAGAGTCCTCCACCCCGGTGAAGACATGCAGAGAGCTATAGGACGGGAATTTCACATGCATAGTCGGGGATGGTGAACAGGCCAGTGTCCCCCGAAGAACCGTGAGTGACATCTGAGCTGAGATACAGGGCTTCCTGTAGGCAGTCACAGGAAGACTCAAGAGTACCCTAAGCAAAGGCTGCTAGCAGATGTATCACATTCAGAAAAGGAAGAGCCCTCCGGGTGCTCAGGGCTGAGGTGCAGATGGCAATGGGAGACCTTGAGGTGTAGAACTGGGTCACCTGGGAGCCAGGATGCCCTTCAGGGGCGCAGGGTCTTAGACACAAGCAGAAAGCTGGCAGCCTGTGGAAACACAGCGAGATGAGAGGCAGATTCCAGCTGGGGGGGACCACAGCAGCCCTGAAGGGACGCACAGAGGCTGTGAGGCTAGGAAGGAGGTGACTCTCACCTAGAGTGCTGGTGAGTGGAGGAGGTGAGGAAAGAGTGGAGACAAGCAATGGGCGCTGCTGTAAAGTAAGCTTGGATTGTCTCCCTCGAACAGTGGCTTAAAAGAACACACACTGGGCTAGGAGGATGTGTGTGTGTGTGTGTGTGTGTGTGTGTGTGTGTGTGTGTGTGTGTGTGTATGGTTTTATAGAATTTTATACATCTTTTATTTTAAACAAAACAAAACACCTTTTTTGTGATTCTGGGAAATGGACCTACTACCTCACTCTGAGCGACATGCACAACATTTTATTGTTGTTTTATTTGGTTTTGCTTTTTAGAATATTCTTTATGTATTCCTTAACAATTTTATACATGTTGTTTTGAGACAGGATTTCATATATTCTAGGTTGGCTTTGAACTCACAAGGTTTCCAAGTATAACCTTGAACTTCTGATCCTCTTGCCTTCACCTCCCAAGTGCTGGGATACAGGCAAGCACAATCGCACCCAGCTGATGTGGTGCTGGGGACTGGCCCTAGGCCTTATGCATGCTAGGCAAGCACTCTACCAAGCCCGTTCTTACCGCCCCAGCACACACAGAAACCATAGGTCGTTTACCTTGTGCCTTCTTCGAATGCTGCCTGAGGGTCAACTACAACAGCTCAGTTGCAGGTGGGAAGCCACAACTCAGCCAGTATAAGCTGTGCGGAACGCGTTCTCTCTCATAAAAATGGTGGGACCGGCTTTAGAGTGGGTCAGCAGCGGCCCGGGAGCTCACAGGCCCCATTAAGGACACGGGCCTTTTCCTTCTCTCCTGGCCCATCATTTCATCCTTAGCCTGGTAATGAGATGGGGGCAGGAGTCCAGTGGTCACTCCTAATATGTCCTTGCATAAACACCTAGAAGTGGGCTTGCTGGGTGGAAGGGGCGTGCCTTTTTGAAAAATGGTTTTAGACCTACCTGTATTTTGCTTGACTTTTTTACAAAGTGCTTAAATATCGCCTCATAAACTTGAGCTTTTCATTCTCAAATGTTCCAGAACACCTCCAGGTCTCAGAGGAGGAGCTCGCACTGACAGCCATATTTCCCAATGGAGACTGTGAAGCCCGTGGGAGTGGACCTAGAGCCCAGGATGGAGTTCTCCACATGCCACCCGAGCCCTTAGGGGACACAAGATGAAGGCTGGACCCCCAGACTGGCCCTAACCTGCACACTGGGGTCTGGACCTTGGCATTGAGTCTCCATGTCACAGTGTCGACCTCAGCAGATGGTAACTGACTGACCAAAAAGACCCCGCTTGCTTGGGGGCCATGCTTCCACTGCTGCCATCTGGGTCCCGGGGCCTGTGGGGCCTGCTCCGCACTCAGTGCTTTTCACTCTGTGGTCAGGGTGCGGTGATGTTGATCTGTGCCTTCATTTCTCTGAGCCAAGGAGACACTGTACCACGGTGTCACTCTGTCTGGGGCTTCTGTTTCCTGAATGATTGGGGGGCTCCCAGCCCAGTGGGCTTTCCTCCAGGGGCTGCATCTCCAGGCAACACTGGAAACTTGTGTGAGGGCCATTAGTGGGCATCTTGCAGTGTGTAGGATGGTCCAACCACCAGTAATTGGTTTCCTCAGAATACCAGCTATGACCCTTTTGAGAAATGGAAGAGTCAATCCCTTCTCCCTGTTGTTCTGTGAAGAGATCCCCCTTAGGTTTCCTGGGACCTTAGTTCTCAGAACAAGCCAAAATAAAGACCTGACTGTTGCCGTGAGGGGGCCTGCCAGGCCAGAGCCAAGATGATCTGTGTGTTGCAGGGCCAGGACCAAAAGCGCCTTGCATGCTGTGAAAAAAAGCAGCCTTTGTCTTTCTCGTGTGGACACTGATTACTGTGCCAAATCCGTTGTAGAAAAGTTTGCTGGGAGCTGCCTGTAGCACCAGAGGGAGAAAGCCAGGGTGCTGGGATGTTCAACACCCTAACTTGTACTAGAGCTCAGGCTCCAGCCCAATTATTCTAGAATCTTCCCTGAGTCTGTGAGCCACATAGGTGGGTGATGTTCTCTACAGAGTCTGCTAGGCCATCTATTCATGCAGAGTCAACTGGGAAAATCAGTCTTTGGGAGGGGAGGGCCCCTCTGGTTTCCCTGGTGTGCAAACAGTACTGTCAGAGGGACATGGATGGATCCACATATTCATGTGATCCACTGAGACACCCAATTGTGCCATGCTTTGCATATCTCCCTGTGAGGAGCTGCACACCTTTGAGTCATAATTTCAACCCTTTCTGTGACAGTACCAAGGGAGGGGACCCTCCCTGCTCTATGCCTCGATTTCTTCTTGGTGATCCACAACCTAATCCTATTCCCTGTCAGTCTCATGGAGAGAGTATGAGGTGCAGAGGGATGGCTTTTCCTCGAATGAGGGAGAAGCAGACGTCATTCCAATAACGCAAGGTTGTCCCACAGGAACTGGTCCCAGCTGGCATGTTTTATTCAAGAATGAAGTTGAGGCTGGGAGTATAGTTCAGTTAGTAGAGGGATAGCCTAGCCTGCTAGTGTGATCCCCACACTATCCCATGACCCTGTCTCAAAAGGGGGTGGGGGATTTGAATTATCAATTGGACTTGATTTTGTTTTTAAATGGGGAGGGGGTGTATTGGAAGCTGCTGTATTTTTGTTACAGTGTTGACTTATTCAATCTTATATAATCATTCAGCTGGAGCTTTATTTGATCAAGGAAAGGGACTTGAAATTTAAGTTAGGAATTTGTCTAAGATGGAAATTACAGGGTTCAAAATCTTTTGTATTTGTTACCCATGTTGAAACCTAGGAAAGGGCACATTTAAATCAGCCGAGTTTCCTGGGTGAGGGAGGATGAACCGTCTTCCTCTTCACCCTCACTTGGAACCCATCCCCGCTGTTCCTCACTCACAGGACCGTCTGAGTTTGCAGCCTCTGGTCCAAAGGGTGATTTACACAACATTCACATCAGTTGCTGTGGTTTGAGTTGCCTGTCCTGCCTTGTCACTGGTTGAAAAAGTCTTTGTACCTTGTCTGGGTTCTGCTTCCCAGCTGGTAAAACAGATGTAGCAAACTGCATCCTGCTGTCCTGTCTTAGTGCTGTTTCCCAGGGGACAGAAAGACTTGGGTTTCACCAGAGATGGCCTCGAGGGACCTTTACAGAGGAAGGAATGAAGGTTGGAGACCTGGGGAAGCCAGGGGTCCCCGGGAGCCATGTGTGAGGAACTGCCCGCCAAGCTCCACTGGGTCCTGGGGTTCTAACCTGAAATGTGATGGTAGTTCCCCTGCTTTTGACTTGAATCCTGGCTCCTGATATCTAATAAACCAGATAGTGCCTCACTGGTATCTGACAGAAGCAGAATGAGTCTTTCTTTTCTTCTCTAACACCATCCTCACGGGGCCCTGGGGAGGAGGGAGTCTGAGCAAATGAAGTAACCCTAAAAGTTCTCCAGGCCCAGGTGATTTCTCCACAGCCCCATGGCTGCAACTGAGAAATGTATGTCTGGAGAGTGGAAGCAGGTATTAAACAGAGTTATTTGTTGATTTGTTTATTTGTACTTTCTGCCCATGGGGGTGCATGCCACAGCACGTGTATGGGGCTCAGGATAACTTGTGGGGGTCAGTTTCTGCTTCCACCACGTGGATCGAGGGGATCAGACTTAGGTCATCTGGTTTGGCAGCAAAATACCTTTACCCACTGAGCCACTTTACAGTCCCAAAAGTAAATGTTTAAAAGGAGATTCACTTTTTGATTTAAAGATACCATGTGCTTTGATATACAATAGAGGGTGTGGATATGTATGCACATGTGTGCTTAACCAGAGCTAATCCGGGCCTTCATTGGCTTTCCGGCAAACCTTTGTAAGATTTGTGTCGTAGTTTCCTGTTCAAGTGTTTGCCTCCAAAGAGTTCCTGGCTTGTCAAACCAATTCTTGAGGAGAGCATGTAAGGGAACCAAACATGGAGACCCTGGGCCTGCAGTGCCATGAGCCCCTCTTTTCCTGCTGGGAGCAAAGGCCAGACTTCAGCAGGATGATGACCACTGACCGCTGAAGATGTGAAGGCAGTCTGTGCTTCAAAATGCAGGTGATAGCCCGCCAGTGGTGGCCCACACCTTCAATCTCAGCACTTAGGAGGCAGAGGCAGGTGGACATCTGAGTTCGAGGCCAGCCTGTGAATTCCAGGACAAGCCTGGGTTACACAGAGAAACCCTGTCTTTAAAAAAAAAAAAAAAAAAAAAAAAAAGCCAGTGACAGGGGGTAGGGCTTGCTTCACAGGGACAGGTAGCCTGGACTTTGTCCTGTGTGCATGGTAAACAGAGCCTGCCCTGTGAGTGGAGGAAGCTGGCTTTATTGAGGGCTGCACAAACACTCTGACCTGTTTTTGTGAGTTAGTGAATCAAGCATTAGGACAGAGGTGGAATTTAGCGAATTTAGCCAGGACAGCCTGCCACTGGCATAGCCTTGGTGTTGGGACTGGGGAGGGTGGCGGTACTGGACCACCAGGGATCTATCACATCCTTATCTGCCTTCGACCTGGAGCCCAAGTCTTCAGCTATGGTTCACAGAGTCACAGGACGTAAACAGGGGGGAGGGGGAGGGGAGAACGGGGTGTTGGGGGGTCACATCTAGGTGGGGCTGTGGCTTTGGTAAGGGTGAGAACCCCTTATACCCTCTTCCCTGGGCTTCTAGCCATGACTCCTACCCAAAATGTTTAGCAGGGCTCGGAGCACCCTGCTTGGTTCTTGTGACCAAGCCCTGGTTTTGAGATCTAGTTGCAAAAACTGTGTCTGTCTCTGTCTTAGTTAGGAGTTTTAATGCTGTGAAGAGACGCCATGGCCACAGCAACTCTTATAATGAAAACATTTAATTGGGGTGGCTAGCTTACAGTTTCAGAGGTTCAGTCCATTATCATCATAACAGGGAGCATGGTGGCATGCAGGCAGATGTGGTACTGGAGCTGAGAGTGCTACATTTTGCAAGCAACAGAAAATCAACGTAGACACTGGGCAGTATCCTGAGCATAGGAAACCTCAAAGCCCTTCCTCACCAACAAGGCCATACCTACTCCAACAAAGCCACACCTCCTAATAGTGCCACTCCCTATGAGCTTACAGGTGGGGGGGGGGTGGAGTTGTATTCAAACTACCACAGTCTCTTAGCCCCAAGTTCCTTCTCTTCATTACCTTTAAATTGAGGGGAGCTTGAATCACTACCCTTATTGTAGGCTAACTTCACTCTGACCTACAATCCCTGCGGACAGCCTGCTCCAGAACTCAGCTACTCTCAGATCCTTGGTCCCCAAAAAGAGGGTGTCTCCCCTTCAGCCTATCAAGATCCAGGCCACAGGGACAGCTCCAGAAAGTAGGCAAGACCTTGAAGGGCCACGCTTGAATTGGAGGCCTTAAGAGAGATCTATGACAAGACACATGTGAAACGTTCAGTTTTCTAGTAGCCACCTTGGGAAAAAGGGCAAAGAAGCAGATAAGGTTAATTTTAATCATGAACATTCTTTGTTTTTATTTTTTGAAACAAGAGTCTCACTAGGTAGCTCTTTCTGCCCTAGAACTCACGATATAGACCAGGCTAGCTTCAAACTCATGTAGACCCACCTGTCTCTGCCTCTGCCTCCTGAGTACTGGGATTAAAGGCATGAGCCACCACACTCAGCTTAGTATACTTTAAGAACACATTTATTAAATTTTATGTGTATGTGTGTGTGCCTGAGTGTATGTAAATGCATAATGTGTGTGAGAAGCCCACGAAAGTCAGAAGCATTGAATCCCTAGAAATTGGAGTTACTGATGGTTGTAAGTTGCTGTATGAGTGCTAGGAATTGAACACAGGTCTTTCGAAAGAGCAGTAAATGCTCTTAACTGCTGAGCCATCTTTCCAGCCCTTGGTTTTCTTAAATACAGGGTCTCCTGTATCCAAGCTGTCCTTCAACTTGTAGTTGAGGATGACCTTGAATCAACTTCTGATCCTATTTCTACCATTCTAGTGTTGGGATTACATGTGTGCTGATACACCTCTCTCTCTCTCTCTCTCTCTCTCTCTCTCTCTCTCTCTCTCTCTCTCTCTCTCTCCCCAGAGGCCAGAGGAGGACAAGAGTATACTTTCCATCTCATTCCCTTAATACAGGGTCTCTCACTGAACCCGGAACTCACTAGTTTTTTCCTAGACTGGTGGCCAGCAAGCTCTAATGATCCTCCTTATCCCTCCCAGGGTTAGGGTAACATGTATGTGTGGCCATGCTTGGATTTTTATGTAGGAGCTAGGGTTATGAACTCGGGTCATTGTGCTTGGACAGCAAACTCTCTTACCCTCTGAACCATCTCCCCAGCCCCAGACCTGATTTTAGGCAATGCTGGGGATCGAATCTAGGGCTTTGTACATGCTAGGTAAGCACACTACTAACTGAACTACACCCACAACCCATATATATTTCAGTTGGAAATTACTAATAAAGCTTTTACATTTTTAAAAGCAAACTCTCACTATTTAGGCCAAGCCAGCCTTGAACTTGGCTGTGTGGCCCAGACTGGCCTTGAATTCTTGATGCTCCTGCCTCAGCCTTCCAAGTACTGGCCTGACAAGTGTGAGCCCCCCCTCCCCACATCGTTTCCTCTGCATCCTGTTTTGCCAAATCACTGAACCCTGTGAGAACTTTAGAGCCGAATTCATGGCCAGCAAGATGGCTTAGCAAGCAAAAGTGACCACTGCCAAGCCTTCCTGCCTGAGGTGGATCCCAGCGACCTACATGGTAGAAAGAACCTGGAGCTAGAGATGATTGAGCAGTTAAGAGCACTTGCTGCTTTCATAGAAGACCCTGGTTCAGTTCCCAGCATGCACATGATGGTTCACAACCATCCATATCTCCAGTTCCAGGGAATATGATGCCCTCTTATGCCCTCTCTGACACCAGACATGTATGTGGTACACATACATACATGCATACAGGCAAAATAAGATAAATATTTAACATATGTATTTGTTTTCAGAGAAAGAACTAACTCCTGCAAGTTATCCTCTGGTTTCACATGCACACCATGGCACCAAAAACAACTAATTTATATTTATAGTTCATTAAATTCGGTCACAAGAATATTCACATCCTCAAAATGTTCCATCTATGAAGCTTTTCAGTAACTGAATTGAGTATTTGTTCAATCGGGAAAAAAAATGCAATGAATTGAAATTAATCTGGCATACCAGTTGATTATTTAAATCAATAAATTTTCTACTTCAATATAAAAATGTAATGTCAACTGATTAAAATTAAATGCAATCTACAGTTTAGTTCCTTCATGGCATTAGCTCATTTTGAGTGGTCAGCAGGATGTGGCTGATGATGTATAAGTAACTCAGTGGAAGAGCACTTGCCTAACATGCACAAGGTTCTGGGTTCACGCTCGAAAAATCAAACAAAAATTCAGTGCAACTGCTTTTACAATTCATGGTGTGAACAGCACTGGGAACCAGGAAGACACTGGTGACTTACAGAGGGGCTCAGGTGATCTCAACTCCTACTTCCTGGGAGAGAGGGAGGGAGGGAGGGGGGGGGAAGGGGGGGAGGAAGAACCAGAGAGTAGCTTGTAGCAAAGAGCTGGAAGCTTGTACCCATTCCACCTGGACATTTCCCTGTGCCCCTCCCTCCACCTTCAGTGATCATTTGGTGCCTCAGTTTACCCACGCCAATTTCAGCCTTGGAGAGCGTTTGGCCTTTGGTCGAGCATCCACACGGAGAGATTCATGCCATCAGCTGCGGGTCATTTCTGCTCCCATTAATAAAAAATTTATCTCTAAAGACAGGTTGGTCAATGAAGCAGCCCCTGCAGGGTGGCTGAGCTGCCTTGAGATCCTTGGTGGCCAGGTAGACGGGACGCTATTGGGCAGTACAGACCGGGAGCCGCAGGGCTCAGTGATGCCCAGCCTCTGCGCCACTCCACTGCAAGAGAGGCGTGCCAGATCTGTGGTTCCAACCCTACGGTACCGACGCCAGGGCTGCGGTCCCGGGCCGCGCTCCCTCTGCCGGCAGGGGGCTTGAGACCACCAGGGGGCGCTGTAAGAGCCGCCAATTTCCTGCCTACCTGCCACCCAGGCACTAGGTGGACAAGGCCACAGCGAACCTGCAGTGGGCTTTGAGATGTTTTGTGGACCTCCTAAATTTTAATCGTTAAGAACAGTGCATCCTGTAGGAATTATTTCCGTCATTTCACTATGCCCTCAGAAGTAGAGCTCATTTGAATCCTGGAAAGGGCAAAATAGTTTTAAAGCCGTAGAGTAAAGCTCGAATAAGTTTGCGGCAATGATAAGCACTCCATTCAAACTGGAGACACGGTACTTCTCCCACACA